GTTTAAAGAGCTAATATTGTGAAAATGGCTATTCTGCCAAAGCCAGCGCACAGATTAAACAGAGTCCTATAAAATCCCGTATCATTCTTCACAGGTTCAACAGAGTCCCTACAAAATCCCATATTGTTCTTCACAGAAATAGAAACAAGCAATTTTAAACTCTGTGTGAAAACATAAAAGATCCCAAATAGTCAAAGCAACCCTGATCAAAAGAAGAACCATACCAATTTCAAGTTATACTATAGAGCCACAGTTATAAAAACAGCATGGTACTGGTTTAAGAACAGATCAGTGTTGGGCAGAATAGAGGACCCAGAAATGATTTCATGTGGCTACCGCCATTTGAGATTCTACAAAAATGCCAAAAACATACATTAAGACAACCTTTTTAGCAAATGGTACTGGGTAAACTGGATATCCACATGTAGAAAAATGAAGCTATATCCCTATTTCTAACCCTGGATGAGAAGCAGGCACAAATGGATCAAAGTCCTTCAAAAGACCTGCAACTCTGACATTGTTAGAGGGGAAATTAGGGGAAAGACCTTAAGGTGTCAGGATAGACAAGCATTTCCTAAATACTCACTCCAGTCCCTCAGCAGGGCCAACAACTGACAAGTGGGACTTGGTGAGATTAAAAAGCGTCTTGTGGCACACTGTGAAGCAAGTGAAGAGACAAGAGAGGCTGCAGAACAGTATACACCCTGATTGTCTATAGCTGACGACACTGAGACAGAAAACAAAGAACTCAAGCTGCAGAATGAGAAATCAAACAGTCCAATCAGTTAACAGATGACTGAATTGAAAGGAAAATCCTAGAAAGATGAAATGCAAACAGTCAATCGAGCATGAAAACACACGTCCACCTCCACCGGCCATGCATGAAAACACATGTCCACCTCCACTGGCCATGCATGAAAACACGTCCACCTCCACCGGCCATGCATGAAAACACATGTCCACCTCCACTGGCCATGCATGAAAACACATGTCCCCCTCCACTGGCCATGCATGAAAACCCAAGTCCACCTCCACCGGTCATGCATGAAAACACGTCCACCTCCAGTGGTCATGCATGAAAACACATCCACCTCCACTGGCCATGCATGAAAACACACGTCCACCTCCACTGGCCATGCATGAAAACACACGTCCACCTCCACTGGCCATGCATGAAAACCCAAGTCCACCTCCACTGGCCATGCATGAAAACATGTCCACCTCCACTGGCCATGCATGAAAACATGTCCACGTCCACTGGCCATGCATGAAAACACGTCCACCTCCACTGGCCATGCATGAAAACATGTCCACCTCCACTGGCCATGCATGAAAACATGTCCACGTCCACTGGCCATGCATGAAAACACGTCCACCTCCACTGGCCATGCATGAAAACATGTCCACATCCACTGGCCATGCATGAAAACACGTCCACCTCCACTGGCCATGCATGAAAACCCAAGTCCACCTCCACCAGTCATGCATGAAAACATGTCCACCTGCACAGGTCATGCATGAAAACACATGTCCACCTGCACAGGTCATGCATGAAAACACATGTCCACCTCCACCGGTCATGCATGAAAACATGTCCACGTCCACTGGCCATGCATGAAAACATGTCCACGTCCACTGGCCATGCATGAAAACACATGTCCACCTCCACCGGCCATGCATGAAAACACGTCCACCTCCACTGGCCATGCATGAAAACCCAAGTCCACCTCCACCGGTCATGCATGAAAACACATGTCCACTTGCACAGGTCATGCATGAAAACACATGTCCACCTGCACAGGTCATGCATGAAAACATGTCCACCTGCACAGGTCATGCATGAAAACACATGTCCACCTGCACAGGTCATGCATGAAAACACATGTCCACCTGCACAGGTCATGCATGAAAACACATGTCCACCTGCACAGGTCATGCATGAAAACACATGTCCACCTCCACTGGCCATGCATGAAAACACATGTCCACCTCCACTGGCCATGCATGAAAACATGTCCACCTTCACTGGCCACCAGATAAATTCACAATGAGAGCCCATCTCACCCAAGTCAGATGATGGCCATCAAAAAAAGAAATAGCAGCAAATTCTATCAAGGATGTGGGTGAGGAGGACTATCCATGGCTAGCGGGAATGGAAACTTGCTCAGACACCATGAAAATTAGTGTGGAGGTCACCCAAAACAACCTGAAACTGAACTACCATATGAGCCAACTATGCCTCTCCCCAGTATCCAGAGAGACACTTGCAATCTGTGTTCATAGCAGCATGATTCATACCAGGTTACAAAAACAAGCTCTGCCCAACAGCAGAGGAATGGATAAAGAAAATGAGCTATTTTTTGTACAATGGATTTTTGCAGGAAAATGATTGTGACTGGAGATAATCGCATCAAGCTGAGTCAGCCTCGGAAAAACTAAGGCCACATTTTCTCCTGTTTTTGAGTCTTACTTACATGTCAAGATACATAAAATCATGTAAGCTATCGATGACAGGAAAGGAGGGGATTCACAAAAGATGAGGAGTGCAAAGTGGACTGGGAGCATGTGTGTCGGGGGCAGGAATATTCACAGGATAGCATATACTTCCATGAAAATGGCCCACGTAGGGTGGAGGGGAACTGACCCTGCCTTTTGCCTGAGTGGAGCAGCCCTGGTGGTGTAGTAATTTGAGCAGCGGGGCTGCATCCCCAGCACCCCGGCTGCCTGCTAGCTTATGCCGGAAATAACAACACAAAAACTGTATTCATTTAAACACTGCTTGGCCCTTTAGCTCTAGCCCTTACTGGCTAATTCTGATATCCCGATCAACCCATCTCTAATAATCTGTGAGCACGGGTCTTACCGGGAAAGATTCTAGCCTACATCCATCCTGGGTCGGAGCTTCATCGCGTGTGCCTGCCTGGGAGCAGAGCTCTCGCATCCGCCCTGGAGATGGGATCATGGCGTCTCTCCTGAGGCGTCTGCTCCCAAGAGGAGAGCTGTCGAGTCTGAGCTCACTTCCTCTTCCTCCCAGCATTCTGTTCTGTTTACTCGACCCACCTATGTTCTAAGCTATGAGCCCAAGCAGTTTATTTATTACTTAGCCAATGAAATCAACAGATTGATATATGACACACCCACATCATGGTGGCCTGGACTGACCAGTTCAACTACCACCCAGGCCCACATCCTGGGCCTTTGGTTGGCCCACCCATACATCTACACCATCTAGGACCTTCTGGAGCTCATGAAGGGACTGGTCCTGTAGAACGGTAACCACTGGGCGGCAGTAGGATATCCGAGAGGCATTTCCGTGAGGATCCGGTGATAATGATTGTGTACCAGAAACCAGAGGCCTTGAACCAGACCAGTGGCTCATTCCAATGAACATTTGCAAGTAAAATTGATTGGACGAAAGGGTATAATGCATGACACACCGCAGCTCTCAATGCTACCAGTACAGATAAAAAGGAGTTGGAAAGGCAGGACAGACAGAGGAGAGAAGATGTTTTTATTGTTGTTTTGGTTCTGTTCTTTTGTTTTTAGGTTTTGCGCTTGTGTGTGTGCGTGTGCATGTGTGTGTGTGTGTGTGAAAGAGAGAGAGAAAGATATGTTTTATTTTGGTTTGGTTTGATTTGGTTTTTTTAATTTTATTTGTGATGCTGTTGTAGGGGGAGGGGAGGATATGAAGGGATTAGAAAGTGAGCAGAATTGGTGTACACATGTGAAATTCCATAAAGAAATTATTATATATATGTGCGTGTGTGTGTGTGTATGTATATATATATATATATATATATATATATATATATATATATATATGTAGTTTTGGTTTTGGTTTTCAAGACAGGGTTACTCTGTAGCTTTGGAGCCTGTCCCGGAACTAGTTCTTATAGACCAAGCTGGCCTTGAATTCACAGAGATCCACCTGCCTCTGCCTCCTGAGTGCTGGAATTAAAGGCATGCGCCACCACTGCCCGGCTTAAGTATATTTTTTAAATGGCCCATGTAACACTGCAGAATGAAAAAAATCAACTTCTTGCTTTTCACCTTATTAATGCTCTCAAAACATGAAGCTGATAATGATATAATTTGTTTGCTAGGTTCTCCCCCACTATTATGTAACTCCAATCTGTTGGTTTTCTTATTTGTAGATAATCTTTTCAGGGGAACTTCTTATTCTTATAAATATATATGGCCTTTTAATAGAATATGCTTTTATGCTATTTTCAGAAAATGGGGTAGCTATAGACATTCTTTTTATTCAAACTTCAAGACTCCTTTAGAATGAAAGTTGTAGGAAAAGAATAAATGCTCTTTAAAATTCGAGATGATCCATTTTATAATCTGTTATAAGCATGGCCATGGCCTGTTTAAAAGAGGAAGCTGAGAGTAAGGGCAAGGTCCTAGCAAGAACTGCATGTGAGCAGAGGTAATTCAAAGACCCATCCTGCACAGCTGAGTTCATCTGTCACCTGTGATCTCAAGGTAAAGATACTTTGCTGGGAAAACCGAGAAAGACTCTTATTACTAAAAGCTTTCCTCAGCAGTGGGAGAAGAAGAGCATGTGTCCTTCTTTTAAAAATAATTCAGTACAGGTGGCTCAGAGTATTTTTTGAAGTATTTTGTATAACTTGATCCACCAGTATCTGTTCACGAGTAGGCTGGCTCTAAGGTTCTACCTGTGAATTTTGTTTTCTAAATCAAGTAGAGAAAATGACACTTTGAAAAACAGAATTTTTATTTTTTATCTTAAGACAGGCTCAGGGTACAGGTGGCTGTTTACAAACTTTCTCCAGTTAATTGGATTTCTTAACGTGAAATAGTATTTTCAAAACTAATTAAGTTGCATTCTAATGAATATTTAAGACCAAAATATGTTATCTTTGCTGTACAGTATATAGATTTTTAAATCATCCATAAAGGCAATTATATTTTTTACATTCTCAGAAAGTCTTATGCCATTAGAGCTGCTAAGTGGGTCGTCTGCTTCCTCCCAGGCCATGATTGAAGAAGCCATCACCAGAGCCGAGGCCTTCTCAGTCATGTACACACCCTTTGCGACAAAAATAAGGGCTGATAAAATAGAGAAGGTAAAGGAGGTGTTCGTCAAGACTCACCCTGCCTATGTGGACTGTATCTACACAGGTGAGCTCCTCGTCGCACACTCGGCTGATGCTCTGCAGCCATGACAACTAGCACAGGGCTCTGGGTGGCTTGTTGGTTGCTTAGACTTGCAGGTGTAGGCTTTAATCTAAAGAGTTCAAACATGAGCTTATTTTTAAGACTTTAAGTGGTGCCAGCCTTCATTTCAACACAATATACCATGTATGGTCACAACTGTAGACATTTTAAGGAGTAAATCTAGAAACTTCTAAGGTTTTAAAGAAAACACAGTGATGTAAAGACTAGTGACAGAAAGCTGCCTTGCCCCAGTCCCTTTCCGTACTCCCAGCAATTAGTGTTTCCTTGAAAACAGATTTTTTTTAATTCATTTTTACCAAAGGCATGCTGCCTGAGTTTCCCACCTTCTACCTCATCCCTCACCTCCCTTTTTCTTTAGAAACCACAGATATTTGCTTCACTTACTTTTCTTGAGCAACGGAGAGGCTTATTGGGGCTCATGGTTCAAGAGAAAAGTCCAACGTGGCAGGAAGAACTAGGGCCAGATGTAGGGGTGGGGGTGGAGAGAGGGAGGGGAACATGGAATAAGCCTCAAGGCCTCCTCTCCCCCCCCCCCGCCCCCAGTTTCTCACTTCTCCAGCTAAGTTTCTCCTCCCAAAAAAAACAGTGCCACCAGACGGAGGGAGGCCTGATGTCCAAAGCTGTAGTTCCCTGAAGGATGTCGCCCATCCAAACCACAGCAGCATGGCAGCGGACAGGGACTGGGGACACTGCTTTCCCTCTTTTCCATTTGTAAAGTCTCTTGCTTTTGTTCCCTCGGCAGTATCTGCCAAGGTGGTTTTGGATTAGAAGAAGTTTTATACGTACATACCAAACAAAACGATGCTCAGCAATGCCTGCCAGGTGAAGCAAGGCCTCCAAAGGCATGCACCTGCTGTCCCGACATCAAATTAAGAAATAATCTTTTCTCTTTCCTGCTCCCTGAGGCTGACGCTTTGATTTATGAGGTTAATAACAAGTCTATTATTGATCACTTTTAAAGTATCAGGTACTCTGCATTTGCCCTCTTGTTGTTCCCATAATTGATGGGGAAAGATGATCTACTTTCGAAACAAATCAGTAACAGGAAAAGACAGATAGCCCTCTGAAGGTTCCCTGGCCAGACCGACGACAGCAGGCCTCAGATGGGAACCTAGTTCTGGGCCTTGAGCCACAGGCTTCTAGATTGCTGATTTTTATCCATAGTGCCCTCAGTCCTCCAAAGAAAAGGTAGTAAGCCCAACCATTGACAGCTGAATCATAAAGACCAGGGGAATTTGAGAGGATAAAAGAGGAATTGAATGTAGAATTCATGCTACAGTGAACATTGATCCTGGTGTAGTGAGTTTGAGCACTCTCTTAAGCATTCAACAGAGGACCCAAGAAAACGGCTGTGCAGGAGAAAGCAGTCATCACACAAGCCCGGCAACCCATGTGAAAGCAGGGCATGCAGCAGGGACCTAAAAGCCCAGTAGTGCTGCAGTGACATAAGGTGACAGGAGAATTCCCGGAGAGCTTCCAAGCCAGCTATCCAAATAGAAGAGAGACTATGCCTCAAACCAGGCTGTAGAAGATGGCCACCCTCGATTGTCCTCCGCTGTGCACACGTGCTGTGACACACACGCCCACACACATACTCAAAAACAAACTGTTTTATTTTTTATTAATTTTTATTGAGCTCTATATTTTTCTTTGCTCCCCTCCCTGACTCTCCTCTTCCCTTCAACCCTCTCCCAAAGTTTCCATGCTCCCAGTTTACTCAGGAGATCTTGTCTATTTCTACTTCCCATGTAGGTTAGATCCGTGTATGTCTTTCTTAGGGTCCTCATTGTTGTCTAAGTTCTCTGGGATTGTGATTTGTAGGCTGGTTTTCTTTGCTTTATGTTTAAAAACCACTTATGTGTGAGTACATGTGATAATTGTCCTTCTGAGTCTGGGTTACCTCACTCAAAATGATGTTTTCTAGCCCCATCCATTGACCTGAAAATTTCAAGATGTCATTATTTTTCTTTTCGGCTGTGTAAATGTACCACATATTCCTTATCCCTTCTTTGGTCGAGGGGCATTTAGAATGTTTCCAGGTTCTGGCTATGACAAACAAAGCTGCTATGAACATCGTTGAGCACATGTCCTTGTGGCACGATTGGATATGTACCCAAAAGTGGTATTGCTGGGTCTTAAGGAAGGTTGGTTCCTGATTTTCTGAGAAATCGCCACACTGACATCCAAAGGGGCTGTACCAGCTTGCATTCCCACCAGCAATGCAGAAGTGGTCCCTTTACCCCACAACCTCTCCAGCATAAGCTGTCATCAGTGTTTTTTATCTTGACCATGCTTACATGTGTAAGATGGAATCTCAGAGTTGCAAAAGCAAACTTTTAAAGAGAGATTAAAACACAAAAGAAAAGTATATTTTAAAAATTAGTCAATATTTCTCAGAACTTATACTTGGTTGCTTGCTATAATTTTCTTTAAATTAATTCATTATATTTCATGGGTTTTCCTTTTTAAGGGGGGCAATGCTAGCACATAAAAATCATGCCTACTTATCACCATGGAAGACTGGATGCAGTTCAGCTGTTTCCATCCTAATGTCTAGAATACAGAGGGAGTCATGGAGATTGCCAATTCACCAATTTCTATTCCGGTGAAATTTATTTAGCTATATTTAACCTACTTCCCAGAGAAGTCATGACAATTAATTAATACTTAGGAAGCATTGTTGCCACTAAGAGTTTAAAAACAATAATAACATTTATGAGCCAGACTCACATCTCCTGAAACTCCATCAAACCTGTTATCAAGATGAATTATGATCTGTTGGCAAGACAATTCATGCTAAAGATCTTACACTTTCGAGGAGAAGATAATTACACATCACTAATGATTGTTTCTATTATTTTTCAATTACTAATTGCTAGTGTTTGACAGTGTGGTATGAGAACCTAGAGTAGGAAGATAAAGCATTTCCAGGGGGTGTGAGTAGGGAAGGCAGCTTAGAATTCAAATTTCCTTGGGGCTACTAAAGCTCTTTGCCTCTGTGGAATCTGTGCTTTAAGCACACAAGACAACTGAAAAGTGACATCATTTGCATCTGGGTCAAAAGAGCAGGGATTTCCCCCCAGAATTGTTAGTTGGGATGAGGGCGAAACAATTCTTAGTGGCCTATTACAAGAGGTAATGCAGCTTTGAGGTGTGGCTTCTCTACCCCCATCACCTTCAAGGTGATCTACTTAGAATGAGCACCAGGATCACCTGAAGCCAGCAAGAATGAGTCGCATCAAAGAATCACTGCTTTTTTGGCACATCCCCCAAACCGGCATTTGCCTTTCATTTACTTTATAGATTTTTTTAAAATTTGAGACAGGCTCTCGCTGTCTAAACCTGGCAGTCTTGTACCTGGCCTCACATTTACAGCAATCCTCCTCCCTCTGTCCCCCAAGTGCTGAGATGATTGGCCTACTACCATGACCAGCAGTAGACAAAAGAAGCTTCTACCTGACTGGAAATGCGATTGCCCACTTACTTCAGGAGACATTTGTGCAGCAGCCATGACTGCACAGTTACATGCAGATAAGTTCAAATAAAAGCTAGATCACCACCCTACCAATGCGCTCAGATCCTCAGTCACCCCATCCTAACCACTGAAAACATGCTTCTGTGTGCAGCACTGTCATCTTCAAAAACACTCAACATTTTCATATTTTCTCTTTTGTTACCACCTGCATTCTGGGTGTGCAAGTGTGTGTGTGTGTGTGTGTGTGTGTGTGTATGTTAACTTTCAAGTCTATATAAAAGAATGCCCATTAGAGTGTTTGTGTGTATACAGAAGTGTTCAAGTGTGTGCACATTTGAGTGTGTGTGTAGAACAGAAGTCAACCGCAGGTGTTGTTCCTCAGGGGCTGTCCATCTTCTTTTGAGGGTTTCACCACACAGGCTAAAGTGGATGGTCAGCATGCACCATAGACCCTCCTGCTTCTTCCTCCCCTACGCCATGATTACACGTGATTATTACCACACGTGGCTTCTTACTTGGGATGGAACACGGGTCCTCATGCTTGCACAGCGTGTACTTTACCATCGCCTCCTTTTTGTATCGGCGTGAATAAATGCAGGCAAATATTAAAGAATATAAACAACTTTAATGATTAAATAAAACTTACAGAATCGAGGTTCCCGCGTAGCACAGGGAATAGGAAAGAAAGGGGCGAGCGGCCTCCCTTGCCCGATTTATTCGTATGCATTCGCCCGAGGCAAACCCGCCCCCTAAAGGGGCTGGCTTAACCCTACACCTTTTTAGTAACGGTTTACTCTGTACCTGGCATTACATACTTACATACATATATCTTCACGTATGTACACAGACTTAACCTCACATTCAGTCCTCTACAGACAGCTAGGAAACGCACTGCAAGCACCCAGCAACGGTTCAGAGGAGATGGTGTTGTCCTGGCCCCTCCCTCGAAATTATGAAGTTTGCACTGCAGCAAGAGACATGAGATGAAATCTGAAGGTTCTCTAAGCTGGTGAAATAGTCTGAAGAAACACAATAGATAAGTCACGTGACAGAAACACTGGCAGTCGGAAGAAGGGATATCTAGCAAAAGTTTTTCTGGAGAAGCTGTGGCTAATGATTAAAACTTGGAGACCAGCACACTGGATCCAGCCAGGGAGGCTGGCAGACAGTCCTCCAGCTCAGAAACTCTGCCCAGCTCTGGGTCACCTTCATGGAGCCTACATGGGACGCAGTGCCTCCCTCCCTGGTCATGGCAGTGCAGCAAGAACAGGTGTGGTCGGCAGAGGTGACCATGAGCAGGAAGGTCCCCCAGGCACCAACACGCTTTCTCCAACCCAACTTCTCTATAAGATATTTCCACACTGAAATTAGAGACACAGGAGGAAGGTATGAAAGTAATTCAATCTGAAATAGTTTTAGAATTTAAGTCCAGGTTTTAATTTTTATCTGAATGAACTAATTAAATGAG